GACGATAATGGCTTCGTTCCACATTGATGGTACACTCTCTGTCTCCCACACCTTCCTGAACAACCCAGTTAGAGCCATTGTGAGAGTCTCGCCACCATCTTTAAAAAGAGCCGGGGGTAATTTGTCTGGGCCGGGCGCCTTATGGCGTTTCAGAACTTGGAGTTCCTTACGGACCTCCGCTTCGGTGGGTGGGTCGGTACTAACCGACCAAGGAGCACTCGGGCTAATGATAGTAGACACTGAAGCTGGTGGCCAGCTGAACTGCTTCCCGAAGTGCTCTGCCCAGCGTTCCAGGCGTCTTTTCAGGCTGGTAATTGGAGTGCCATCTGCCTCACAGACCGTCTCGCTGACACCTTGTTTCTTGCTGCCGGTGGCTCGTATGAGTTGGAACAGCTTCCGACTGTTGCCAGATGCAGCAGCTGACTCCATCTCACACGCACGTTCTGACCACCAGGCTTCGCGGTCCTTACGTAAACACTGTCTAATCTTGCGCGTGAGCGCCTTTCGCTGATTGTTGTATTCGCTGCCAGCCGGAATGGACCGGCGTTCATCCATGAGTTGCAAGGAACTCGCAGAAACCCAGTGGTTGTTAGCGGAGCATTCTTTCAAGCCGCAAGCGGCTACACTCGCCTTTTGCATGGCACCTTGCACATGAAGCCAATGTTCATCTATACTACTTGGGGGGTTGCTGGCAAGCATTGTTTTTAACTCATTCTGATATTTCAAAGAAGTAGCAGGTGCTACTAGTTTGCTCACATCAACGCTTAGACGACGGCTTTTACGAACCCCACCAAATCGCAAGACGAACTTGGCACACACTAACGCATGATCGGAGTCCAGGCATGTGCTCCAGAAGGAGCGACAGTCTTGTATGCATCCTCGCCACCGGAAACTGACCGCGATATGATCAATCTGAGTCCAAGCTTGCTTCGCAGAGGGAGGACGCCAGGTAGCGCTACGGCGATGGCTGTGCCGGAAGTTGGTGCTAGCTAGAAATAGGTTGTGATCCGCGCAAAGCTGCAGAAGACGGTCCCCATTATCTGACCTGCGACCATGTAGTCCCCACTGACCACCTAGACGATTCTCCTCTGAGCTTAGACGCCCCACCTGTGCATTCAAGTCCCCAGCCAGCACTACGATATCCCTCCGACCCGCCTGTTTCAAGAGATCGCTCAGTTGGTAGTAAAACTCATCCTTCATTGCATCCGGGCTGCAATCCGTCGGTGCATAGGCAGAGACAACAAATAGACACCGCCTATCTGGCCTACTACTCTTTACTTTCGTATAACCTTCCAGCCTCACAGCACATAAACGACTGTTAATGGGAATCCAGTCGAGCAGTGCAGCTTCGGCTCTAGCGCTCAGTGCGACACCGACACCAGCTACGCCGGATGCCGACGCCACAGGGTCCCCGGATAAGCGCAGGTGGTACATACTACTAGAACTTCCAGATGGAGAGGATAGTCGAAGCACTTCACTGGGATCTTGAATGCGGGTCTCCGAAATGCAGCAGACATCGATAGCGAGGCTTTCCAAAGTTCTTGCCAACCCTGCCTGTTGTCCGATTTGCATCAGCGTCCGAACATTGTAGGTAGCCAGCTTGAACGCAGCACGCGGTTTCAGGATATCCGTGTTAGATGTCACATTGGGAACAACCATTTTGAGGACTACTCACTAACATCTCGAAACGACACGGATAGGCTGGGAATCTCGACAAAGGCGAAAGGCTGTCGAAGGTTAAGAAGCCAAGGTTAGAAAAGGTACAATACAGGAAACTATGTATAAAAATAAAAGTAGGGTAGGAAGGAAATAAGTTCCTTGAGGGATCAATATTGCTTGGAATCATTTTACTAGCGCGTTTGAGTTTCAATGGGAGTTCGTTGCTTTAATTCATTCATTGTGTGCGGGCTGAGATACTGCCCGGGCGCCCAGACCGAAGCAGGTGGCTTTATTAAGGGACCACCCCCGAGCCTTTGACTTGGAGTCTAATCCGCAAGGCAGCGGAGCAGCGTCAGGAGCTGCATTCCCATGGTTGCCGGTGACCCATGTGGGTTCATACGCCATTTGATCCGATTGGAAACTGGAGCCCATGTACCCCATGGTAACTGCTTTTAGTTTAACCGCTATCCAGAAAACCTTCCTGACATGGTAGGACCTGTGAAGACAGGGTCCCAGTCAGTTCAGCTTGTTGGGTCATTGCGGTATTCAAGCCCGACCACCACGACAAGGTAGCAGAGGCTGGGACTTTAGGGTGAGTTCATGTAGCGTATTCACTCTTGTTTCTTATTTTTAACAGTTTATAATAAAACAGGATTTGGTTTTTACAGGGAAACGAAGTCTTTAAATTCTCAATTTCTTGGCTCCTATGGTCGGTAGCTGCTTTTGTTTCAACATCGACTCGTAAAGCAAATTAGCAGTTAAAGTGATTGTCATTGATGTGCTCATATTCACTGTTGCTTTGATGTCAGCTGTCGTCAAGTCGGACAGTGTTTTTTCCTCATATTTAGAGTTAGTGGTTTCATGAAAAACGAGTCAAAACTGTGCGAGAAAGGTATATTTCATGGTTCATCCGAACGAGACAGTGTGTGTACTCTTAGTGTCATTCTTTACTGGTTAACTCAGTTGCCATAAGTAACCTTCTACGAAGTCCTATTCGTATACTTCATTCAGAACAGCAGTCAGTGGGTGAGTAAGAGGAGATTCTGCGAAGAAAGGCAACTGGTGATCATCACAATCTTTTCTTATTACGACAAATTCATTTAACCAGAAACCAGTTGGTGTAAGAGCAAAATTTGAGCGCTCTAGTGGGATATAATCCTATACTGGATAGGTCTATTTGATACAACAGGTGTTGCGGTATTTTACTCCGCGTCAATTGTGGAACATAAAGCTTTGAAGTTCCAGTGGCTATGGTGTTGCTTTTGGTAGTTGAGGTTGCTAGCCCCACACCGAACGTCCCCTATTTATCAAGCTTAGTACTTAGCTAAAGGAGGTTTCGAAGTTCGTCGGCTAGGAATCAGACCTGAACCACGTGCAGCTCAGGTTTAGGATTTGGGTATGGTGGTACAGTATTAACAGCTGGATGGCGTTTCGAGCACAATTTTCGCTCATAGTAATAATAACTTCTACTTTTCTCGTTTCAACAGTAATAATGGCATTCAGTCGCCTAATTCACGTACAAATGAATGTGTGTTAACAAACAGCGACGCCTATAATGATCAGTCAGTTGCAGATAGGACAACTAGAACATCAAGACCATCCAATTCCGTATTGACTACTGCTACTACTGTTGGAGATGGTCGTCAGGGTTTTAATTCGTGTCAGACGAGATTCTCACAAAGTATTAATACATTATCGTCACCTTGTGAAAATCCAACTATTTGTCATTATTCAACAAAAAGTCGAATCGAGTCAAACCCACCCGTACAACAACAACAGCAACAGTATAGGTTTCAATTCCGACCTTCTGTCCTCGTATCGTCTACAGAACATGTGACAACAACAACACCACCAATTATGTATACATCAGACACTTGTTTTTCACTGCACTCACCAAATCTGTCATTGTATCAAAGGGCTCAATCAACGTCAGTGTCAGCAACAGTGGCATCAGTAGCTGGAGGAGATGATGTGTCAATCTGGTCTGACGGTGTTGGTGGCGACGGTGACGATGATGACTTGTTGTTAAAAACGAATATTATTGAGTCGGCTAGTAATAATAGTGATCCTGCGGATTGTCTTCTAGTCAGCAGTATTAAGAGTGGTGGTTATGGTCCTGTTGATCCTAGTGATGGTAATAATAAGCCTCAGCTAGTTTCAGATATCTCTGTCAATGAATTAGCCTCATACATGGAGCATATGGTGCATATACCAGGGAAGATGTCTGAAATGGCACAAAGAATGTATCTTTAAGAAAGGAAGACATATAGGGGGATCAGTGAATGAATGTCTGAATGCGTCTATGTATACACTAATGAAAGTAAATGAAAGAAGGGAAGAAGTGAGTGACTCTCACCTAGATTGCATATTTTTATTCATTGCATCTACTACTATTACCACAATACATTGAAGCAAATATTTCGACAACATACAAATATATTTTGTAAAATTGGGTTGTACGCATATACATATATACACACTAATGACCGATGGTATTGTGATACTGATAAATATACAAACATATACATGTGAGTTTACATGTATTATCTTCATCATTATTATTGTTAATTCTCATTGTAATTCGTTTTATTCCATTCTATTACTTTTGTTTTGTGTTTCTATAATCTTTGAGTATTTTATTCAATTCCTGTGAAGACAGTCTCCCAGTGACGTGCCTATATATTTAGGCAACTGTACAAGTCCCATATATTGCACCATATATATACATATTGTACAAAAGATTACTAGTTTGACTATACTTAATACTACCAGTATTATTATTAATAACGATACTAATACGCATACACTGCACTACTTGAGTACCTACCTACCTTTTTGGTTGGATCTCGAATTCCCACTGCCACTGCCGCGTTCACGCCAAAAGTTAACTTCTCTGTATCTCTTCGTTTCTCTGTGTTTGCGCGTGTGGAGGTGTGTGTATGCATTTTAGTGGTGTTTTTAGAAAAAAATGTAAAACCTACTTTTATCCTCTTTCAATAGTCAATCAGTCAGATGTGTTTGTATAGCTGTTTTTTGTGAAACAAAGAGCCAATCATTCAACCAACTAAATAAATAAACTTTTATTTTCCTTTAATTATCGTCAGTATCAACTATACAAAAATCGTCTGTGTGAAAATGTCTTGTGTATTCCTTCTCTGTTTCTTTCACTTTGTATGTCTCCACAGCTTCGCTTCTTTATTTTACTTTGCTTCGCTTCGGTTTGTTTTGTATTTCTACTCTCTTGTTAATCAAGGCGTTTGATTTGTATTAAAAGCATTTATTACTACTGTTATTGCCTTTCTTAAAATTGGCATAAATTTGTATCCATCCGTCCGTCCCACTTACGTTGCTGAGCTGATCTTTTCCATCCCACCCCACTCCGACCCCTCCTGTTGTATTTTGCTGCTGGTTTGTTCAAGTTTCGCCTTGTCCTCCTCCTCCTCATCGTTGTAGTCGCCTTCTGTCTGTGGAGGCGATTTCGTCTTCGGCGGAGAAACAGTGGACAACACAGTACGAAGGTTCACATAATAAGAACAATAACAGTGGTAGTATTAGTAATAAAAATAATATACTTGTTCCTGTTATTCTTATTGTTAGTATTTTTATTTTAATATCGTTTTTAATTCAGTACCACTTACATCGGGTTCATTATTACCTTTTAACTGACATATATATATATATATATATTCAGTGTATTCTGTTCCTTTAATCTTTAATACTAATATTATTTTTTTAACGTTTACAAGTATTGGAGAGATTCGACATTATTATTACTGTTATTATCGTCACTATTACGTGACAGACATAGAGGTACTGCTTTTGTTGAAAATAAATTTTGTTGAAGCATTTCCAAGTCTGCCAGTTTACCTGGCTTTTTATTTCCTTTGTTTCCTTATTTCCCATGTACTGCATTCACATACAGACACAAACATGCATACTATCCTTTCGCCTATAATATACATTTTTTAACTGGCGTGTCAATACGTCCCATCTGCCACTCCCCACCTCCCTAAATTTCATACCTATCTGTCTTACCATCTATCCATTTATCTCCATGCCTATATAGTTATTTTTTGCTTGTTTTTTCTGTGTGTGTGTGTGTCTATACTAAAAATTGAATAAATATACTTCAAGGTATTACTAGTTGTGTCAGTGAAATTCAATGGGATGGGTGTAGATAGATTAGTAGTTTGACAAATCGTCAAGAAAAACACATCGAAATCTAGGTGACGCCGCAGAACTGGACTACTCCAACTCGTAGCTTAAAGATAGGGAGTGTAGTGGCTGAGTGCGTTAACTACTTCCTTTATTTGCTAAGTCGTATCAGCCCTAATGGACTGAGTGAATGATTGCTGACGGAATCTCTGATACGAAAGGCTGGTGTATCATTTGCCAACTTACGTCATCTCTGATGTGGATGTGATATCTGACTATATCGATCGAAGGATGGGCTCACCGCTCAGCAGTTGACCGTGTCTTCATTTGTGGTTATGAGATATGGCCATTGAAGGTGGTAGATATGAAAAGGTACTTGCATTTCTACGGTGTTCAGAGCTAAAAGCTTTTATAAATTTCATTCAGCAAGTATACGATGATGTCACATACCAAGTTATTCACAGCAGAAAACTCCGCGAAGCACCCAAAGTCATGACAGGAGTAATACGAGTCTACCATCGCCGACAGTCTCCTTGATTTTGGTGGACCGGATTGTGCAACAAACTGTCTTAGATGGTAGTGTGAAGAGGGGCATGTGTTGGACTAACTGAAAGTTTGTGAGGATCATGAAGCCACTTGAAGATGATGGCAAAGGGACGAGTGTAATCTAGATGTGTCTCTGAAGCGTTATGTTCCACTTGGAACGCAAGGAAGGAATAGTATAATCATCTTAGCAATAGTATAGTTTTCTTAAGTAGAGCAACCTGTCTAAATAGTTGCTCAGACTTTAAAAAAACACTTACTGTGATGAACTGATATATCATTCTGACCCAAAGTAATATAAAGGTGATCGTGTAGGCTGTGAATAATTATTTCCAAATTCCGATTTACACATTTAGAAAAAACACAACATATTAAGCGAAGAAATATATATTCCTTTTCAATCAGTTTCTCATCAACATGAATTGTTGAACAGTCGGCGCTTGGTGGGTTAATTCCTGGCTAGCCACAGTTCCATATTGCTAACTCTTTCGGACTGGCCATCTGATCTTCACTATGCAGTCAGCGAAGAGAGATGTTGATAAAAGCCTGCAGTATCCTGTTGGAAATGCTTTTCGTAAGTTTCTGAGACATATAGAAGAACTGATTGGTGTGAAATTAGTGTTGAAAATCTGAATCTTGTTGTTTCTGCTAAGTGAGTGCAGAAGATTTGCAAATTATGATTTCAGACTTGTGGAAGTGTATGTTGCCTTTCCAATTCTGACTGGCTGGCTGGTTGGTTGGCTGTCTGACTGGCTTTGACATCTACATCCATTCCGCTGGCTATAGTCGAAACTATGCTTCCTAGATAGATAAGTGGAAGGGGAAGTGACCTCTTTCAAGTTTCTCCCGTTGATGGTGGTTGGTGCTGGTTGTAATTGTTGTTGGTGTTGTTTGGTTATCTTCATCACCTCTGTCTTCTTTGTGTTCACTTGGAGTCCTGTCTTCTGAGACTGCCTCTTCAGTCAGTCAGTTTGTTGCTTTTCATCTGTAAGTCTTCGAGTTTGTATGACATTCGACATATATATCATCCATGGGCGAAATCCAGATCTTCTCGAGTCTTGTCATCGGTGAGTGCAACGTATTTCTGTCTTCTGACTGCCATGCCCAGTCTTCTGCGTAATCCAGTCCACCATAATTAGGAATATCATTGTAGGTGATAACAGGCGGCCAGCTTGTCTTACTGCTGTATGCACTTTAAAGCCTCCATTGAGTTTTCCATTGTGGATCACCTGACACATGGTATTATCGTATGATCAACTGAATGAGGTTGATAAAGACCGTAGTGTAGAAGCAGTTTATAAATTACTTCTCGGTCAACGCTGTCTGGTGAAGGCTTTTTCGAGATCGATGAAGTTGAGGTAGAGAGAGGTTTGGCTGCCATTCTATGCTTAGTTCTGTGGTGGTGACGATGAGTATAGTTGCAATTTGATGAGCACATGATTTGCCTTTCCTGAATCCAGCTTGTTCTGAGTGGTGTTTCGTATCCAGAATATCGTTTACTCATCCCACGATAATGCGATTTGATATTTTGCTTGGCGTATTCAGGGGCGTAATATCGCGCCAGTGTTTGCATATGTTTAAGTAGTCTTTCTTCTAAGTGGTGGATACCTTTCCTTCCTTCAGAATTTTCCGCAATATTGGCGTAAGCATATCGACTGATGTCTCTGGGTCCGTTTTCGATGCTTTCTGAGGAAACCCATATGATCCTGCTGCTTTACCAATTTCACTAAGTTTATGGTATCCAGAACGTCTGCTTTTATCGGAAGATTGGTGTTCACTACCACTAGTCGCAGGTTGTTGTGGGTTAAAGTGTCCCTTGAATTGATCATCCCATTGTTGCCTTTGTTTATCCTCGTCCGTAATCAGGCCCCTTTCATTACCTCTTTCATTGGTTTCATTTGTGTTGATGTCTTCCCACATAGCGACCTGGTTATCTGGTATATTTTATTTTTATTTATTATAGCTTGATTCCACATTATATTTTGGTACCACTATGGAATTTTTACCATGTGATATGAGTAGCCCAAATTTAGCAGGATGAACATTGATATCGGGTGTGTGTCGGCCGCAGATTGAACACCGTACCATGTACGAGCGTCCTAACCGCTGAGGTCCCTCTAAGCTGCAGCCGATTCTGATTTAATTGCTAATGTGTCACCAATTTGTTTTTCCTAACGTTACTCTTCACATCCTTTATTCAGTCCATTGTAGGTTAAATTAAGCTTCTCCTTCTGTTGCCCATCTTTTTACTAGTTCATATGTTTCTCCACCTCCCTCTCCTCTGGGTGTCCATGGAGAGACATTCCTTCCTTAAACGGTTGCATTCAGTACCACTGTTGGAGAGTTCTAACGTTCTTCCACACAGATCACCTCGATGATGCTACGTAGTGTCTCCGACTTTGCTCTGATGGCTTCACTAGAGGTGCCTTTTGTGGTTTCGTATTTCAGTTTCTGAGTGTTGAGCTTGAATTGTGGTCTGCCTTCAGCTACTTTGAAGGCTTTTAACTTCACATTGAAGGTTCCTTGAACTAGATAATGGTCTTAGCTCACATCTGCTCCTCTTCTATAAATTGTTCTCAACAGGCTTCGTTTTCACTTTCGTGAGATAAAGGTGAAATCTATCTGATTCTTGGTGTATCCATCAGATGGGACTCATGTTTCTTTGTGCATATCTTTGTGCTTGTACTAACTGTCTGCAGTCACCGATTCACCGAAGTCGTAGACTTTTGTGAAGAGTTATCCTTTCCCACTCATTTCACCGTGATAAGTTTCTTTCCTGTGTTGTATGCTCCTAGTTTGACTTGCATTCATATCACCCATCAGGATTTGGATGATGCCATCTGGCTGTAGTCTTTTCCGTTACTGTTTGCTGTAGGGATTATCCTTCTTCTTTTGATTTGCGTTGATTGTGAACGCATGGCATTGGATAATTGTAACTTCCTTACATTTTGAGTTAAATCTTGCTGTCATTAACCTGGAGCATATTAGTCCCCAATCACTGTAACCACTCCCTCGGTGTGTTCGTGGTTGTCGTCTGGGTGAACCTAGTAGATTATAGGCTCTTCATTTACCAACTTAAAGAGTATGCGCTCACAGATTTCTAGCACTTCTGTGCCATATACACTCATCTCTTTGGCCATCTGATCTGCCTTCCCCGCCTGCTTCAAACATTTTGAGGACATTCCATTTGCCCATCCACATTTTCCCTTGATCGACATAAGACATATCGCTGACTGGTCTCCCGTTTCTCCTATTCCAGTGATGAATAAGTTTTTCTTTCATTTTTTGTTGTGATTTGAAGTTTCTGTAGCGACTGGAGTGATTTTCCCGAATGGGGTCGCTGACCCCACACTCAACCTTCCCTCTTCTCCAAACTAGTAATCTAGGCGATGTTTGTGGGCGAGCTGTTAAACTGGAATCAGACCTGTAACCACCACGTGAGTGGTCGGCGAGCATTAATCACATCCCTGGTACACGGTGTTTAAATATGATTCATACCACCTTGTTGCGGTGAGTGATTCTCCGAAATCACTAGTACACAGCTTTCATCATTCCACATTTGGTGCTAATCTTCACGGTTGAAGTCTACGTGGTCAAGTATCCTGGCCACTTAGGATGTTATATTACTTCCTGTTGTTCGTGAATACACCCTAGCTGGTTAAACAGTTATCAGCGCTCTACATTTCTGATCCCCAAATATATTTCGTATTTTGAACGATAAGTTTGTTGTTATGATTTGACTCTGGTTGAAGGATAAACACTTTTATATACAGAGTATCTTGAT